AAATTTTTTTATTTGAAGTTTCGTTTTTTGAGAAAATCGGATTTAAAAATTTGTCAAATGTAGAAAAATATGATTAATATGAAATAAATAGTAAATGTAGAACACAATACAGTTATAATAATTTTTTATTCAAGTTTTTGTTCTTCACAAAATTAAAATTGAATGTAAAACATGAAATTCATTTACTCAATGAATATTTTTGGAAAATTTAGTTTTCTTGAAATTAGTAGTTTTGAAATGAAAAAATTATTAATTTATATTATTTATTTTTGTATATAAAATCTTTTATTGAAATTTTCGAATCCACGAAAATAAAATATTTATAAAAAGAATCTTAAAATCTCTCTCGTTCAAATCAATAAAAAAATAAATTTTCAAATTCACATATACATGTTGGATGTCAATTGCACTGATATATTTATATAAACAGTTGATAAGTAGCAGCTGCATATTGATGCATATAATGTTAGGATATGTATAAATGAAATTCAATGATATAATGATTTTAAAGAATAAAAATATTTTAACGAATAAAGCTAAAATCATTGATTACTGTAAAGTAAAAAATTACTCAAAATCAAGCTCTTTAACGTATTTCAAGCTCGCTAGAATCCATGAGAAGAGGAAACTAATTGATAGGTTGACCCTCTACAGTAATTAGTAGCCATATGTGCATTGCTAGCATATGGATCAAATGGGGAATATCAATGTGCTCTCAGATTACTACATATCGTCATATTGACAGAACAACGAAGACTGAGAGTCTGACTCGGAAATAATAATGAGCCATAGCAATGATAATGTTCATGAATACAAATGCAACGAAACTAGGTTCACAGTAAAGCCAAGAGGACGCATTCATGAATTTTCAATATAGATTTATTTGGAAATGAAGCTTTTTACGAAAAAAAACATCATTTCATATCATTTTCGATTCACATGGATTCATTTCTATATTTGATAACATTATGTAAAATCTGGCAATTCAATTATGTAATACATATATGTATATCATGAGCAAAAATTCTATATTAATGATAATGAGAGAAATATTTGAAATTTTACAAATTAAAAGTGATAGTTATATCATAAACTTGAAATAAATGGAATAATATAATTGTAGTACATAATCGTAGTACATAATTACAGAAATATTTTGAAATAGTTAAGAGAAAATAATCATAAATTCATAAGTTGTTCATAAGTTGGAACTTTTTAGTGTGCAGAGTATCTCAATATTATTATTTGCAGCTAAAAGAATATTTCAGATAAAAATTAAATAAAGAAGAGCATATTTTTATATTATTAATTCTTTCATGAGAGGATATATAAGCAGAGATCAACTTTCTTCTTTTTAAATGGAATTATATATATTTTAATATAGATTAACTTGACATTCTTTATAAAACTAATCATATCTAAAAATTATTAGTTTAACAGATATCTGAATTTGAATTTTATAAAACTTATTGCATGAAAGACAAAGAAAATATGAACAAAAGAATATTATTTTGCATATTCCTTGTTTTTTATATTATAAATTTCAAATTGAAATATAATTAATATTTTTTTATAGAAAATATCAAGCTATATATATCGATGTAAAACAATATATAATTCCATTTAAAAAAGTAAAGTTCATCTTATTTTTAAGCGTCCACTCATAAAATAATAATACCATTAATATACTTCTCTCGACTTTCATTTAAAATATTTTTACGAATAATAACACCGAGAAAAATCAAATGAAACATCCTGTACATATTTAAAGAAGAGATCTATTTTGAAAGAGATCCGTGACAAATTCTATTACACTTTGAAAGAAACAATTTATGACAAAACTTCCCAAACTTTTCGAAATATATCTCGTGTATGTCGTCTTTTAAAATCGATATTAATTTTGAGTGTGAGATTCAATGCAAGAGAGAGAGAGAGAGAGTTGGGGGGGAGGGAGAAAGAAATAGAGAGTTGGAAGATTGAGAAGGTCGGTCTCACGATGTTGCGGTTCGTTGGCGCGGTTTGATCGAAAGGGTATTTCCTCAGCATACAAGAGAAAAGTTCTTCCGGAAAGATAAACTGCTCTTCTCCCTTAGCGTTCCTCGTTGGAAACTTAGTCGGAACTTTCGCGAAAGATTCACAAAAGATTCTTTTTTTTTTTTTTTTTTTTTTTTTTCTCTCTTCTCCCCCTTTTCCTTTCGATGTTCGAATATAATTCAGGGAAGGGTGGTAACGGTTTCCTCGCGAGGAAATTTTAACGTACGTGTACAGGGGCAGCAATTTTAAGCGAGTTATTGGGGAAAATTAATTATTGCTCGGGAGTTTCTAGTGTTCTTGAATTAAAAGTAACGAAACCGGGGCAAAAGTAGAGTTATTCGAGTAGCGAATGGAATATCAAATGTAATGTTCGTGATTTTAAGACGATTAATGTTAACGTTTATTGTAATGTAATTAATGACGATTAACGTAACAACCCACGAAGTGTTTTACACTTTGGTTGTTTCAACTTGCATCGAGAAAAAAAAAACGATAGAGGATATAATGAATGTATAAGATATAGTAGAGTTTGATGTATGATTTTTGAAAATGAAAAATCAAAAATTTAGATTTATTTATATATAAAAATGTTAGAATATAGGTATATTGCACAAAAAGTTTTTGTATTTCAATGGAATTTATTTCAGTTTATCGTGTTATTTTCGATGAATTAAATATAATATTGAAAAATAATCGTAATTTTGTAATATTAATAACAATTTGAAGTATATTGAGTATTTTAAAATTTATTAATTGATAATAACATGGATTTCTATCATTTAAAAATAAAAAAGATTAAAAAATTGGAAATTGTGCCTTACTCAATAGTTGTTATATTTATTATTAAACAAAATGAAATTTATAATTATAATGATTATTACAAAAATATATAAATACGTCTTTAAAACTTTATTAATACTTTACAATGTCTCGTACTTATTACCAGAATTCCCACTTCTCCAATTCCAATTTAATTTAGAAAAAGTGAAAAATTCATAGGTTCCTTAAAGTTTTTATGAAATCTAAAACCTAAACCTTTCATCGCCTAAACCTTATCCATTTAATCCTCTCTATTTGCAGCTCTCCCATTCTGCCCTCTCTTCAAATCAAAAACGAAAAAAAAAAAAAAAAAAAGAAAAAAGAGAACGGAAGAATTATCCCATATTCCCCTCCATACTCTTACTACTTGCACAAAAAAATAATTTTCTCGTCATCGAAATTTCGTTTCTTTTTCACCGACTATATTCGAAGCTTTAACGAGTTGCCGCTCCTCGTTTCTTTCTCTCTCTTTCTCTCTCTTTCTTCCTCCATTCCGCGATTAACTCGAACGATCCGCTCTCCCAGAAGGGTAAATTAAGATCCCTCGACGTCGAACGACCCTCAAAGAGGCAACGTCGGTGGCGCGAACGAAACAATTTTATGAAAAGGGCCGTTTCCTCCGATGATAAAACGTCCTTCGAAAAAAACGATTCACCGTTGTGGAAAATTGGGTCGCTCGTCACGCTCGAGCTCACTGGAAAACGAATGCACACACAGCGCGCGCTCCACTCCATCGATACGCCGATAATTAAAAATCGGGCTGCCGAATTCACCGGGGGGATAATTAGTCGGCGCGAAACGTTACGGCGTGTCTGTTTTGCGCGGGCCAACCTTTTGTAATCCTCGCCTATACTATAAACCGAGAACTGGGTCGAACTTTTGCCAACCCCTTTCCCTCCTCCTCCTCCTCCTCCTCCACCATTGCATCGTTGCGCTATCGGTGGATCGATCCTGGAATTATTAGGTAATTATCGCGGTGCGCTGAGGATAATTTCGAAATCGATTAGAGGGAGGGGTGATGATGCGAGGATCGCAAGTGCGAATTTCCACGGGTGGGAATTAAAATGCCTCGTCCCGTTTAAATTTAATTTTTTCCGTTTGTTTTTTTTTTTTTTTTTTTTTTTTTCATTTTTCATTCGTTTCTAATACGGATGGAATTTTATTTTGCTTGTCCGCTTGTGCGATTGAAATAGACGTCAAATATTAATCTTCGAACGTGAATTTGAATTAATTGTAAATGAATATTGTTGTTGAAAGAATGATAATTTTATTGTTCAAAAATTGATTGGTATAACGTAATTGTTGATATATATTATTGATTGAGATATATTTTTACTCGATTTTAATTTTTGTGCAATGCAAATTCATTGATTATACAATATTCTTATTTCTTTTGATTTTTTTTTAATATTTTAACGAAAGAAATATATTTTTCATTTTCACACAATAATTTTAATTTTTTTGTACAAGATTCCTTACTCTTTCGCGTGATTAATTGATCAAATATCCTTAAAGAGTTAATTAGAGATTCAATAATCATTATTTTATCTATAAACATATTTATAATAATGACTTATATCATTCTATTCTAAAAACAGTGTATAAAATAATTCGTGTCAATAGCAATTGAATAACTATTATTTAAAAAAATACAAAATACTACCAAAATTGAAAACTTGCAATTTTCTTAAAATTGATTCTCTCAAAACAAAAAAAATTAAAAATGAATTTTTTAAAATTCAATAAATAACATTAAATAGCTTGCGATGTTAAAATTCGGATAACCTCGAATATCGTCGCAAAAGAAAATTTTCCTCATTTCTTTCCACTTCGATACACACTTTCGATAAACACACGCACAGATTTCCAAAAGCCAATTTCGAATCGATGGAGTTAAGAAAATTCGATTCGAAGCTGGTCAACGTTAAAGAACGAATGGATAATTGGATAGGAAGTGAAAACGAGGGGAAATTTTCCAGGGAATCGACAGTTTGCGAGGATGTCCCTGCACGAGGCGCGTTTACAAGCCTTCTTCTCTTAACATCTCCATCCTGTGCCCGTGCCATCGACGAGGATACCATCCTGCGAGGTGTTAACCCGAGGCAGGGATCGGCTTACGGGGTGGAGGCGCTATAAAAATAAAGGAAATGGGGGTGCCGGATGTAGAGCAGGCCAAGAGGCGACTCCAGGATATTCTGAGGAAAGCGCAGAAGCTCGAGATCCCCCCGCAAGAAGTGATCTCGACGCGGACCGCCCAGAAGCTTCTTGCGAGAACGAAGAACGTCCTGGCATGGACGATCTGGATCACAGTTTTTATCCTCCTGCTAAGCGGAGTGGTCTACGCCCGTTGGCCAACGAGGCAAGAAGTCGAGACCATTAGAACTGTCCTTAGGCGAACGGTAAGTTCCGTTAAATTATTTCCTTAAATTCTTATTATTCGCCCGTTGGAATTCTCCTTCGGATCGATACTTATTACCTGCGCGAAAAACTCGGTCGGTAATAATCGCGAAACGAGGCAATTAAGATAAATTCTCGTATCTCGATTTTCGGTTTTTGCTTTCGATGCTGAAGTAGTTTGCCGGTTTGTCGAAATTTATTTGAAATGATAATTGATAATAATAAAATATAATTAATTGGAATTAGTATTATTCAGTATTATCTTTGATAAGTAATATATTTTGAGGTTATGTTCGTTCTTTGGTCAAACATAAAGGTACTTCTTTTTGGAGAATAATAAACTAATTGATTATTTGAGGAAGTATTACAATAAGCGTGTAATACTGTATTAAGTGATAATAATATTTATCATTTAACATTATATATCAAGAAATTTGTTATTTTCATTTGAAATCGAACAATAATATTGCTTCGCGAAATATTAAACAAATCATTGAATTGCAAACATTTGGTTATTTACTTTTCGTATGAAATATTTGTGTCGTTTCAAACGTAAACCATTTCTCAAATAATTTCATTTATAACTACAATAAATATAATAATAATTTTATTAAATCGGATAATTTTCGAAAAGTTTCGCGTTATCGAACACGTATATAGGTTATATGTAGACGTATTGGAAGGGATGAAACTGCGACCGGAAAATGAATAGAATTGGTAAGCAATTGGTCGAACTGAACTCAACGAGAGTTCGATAGGAACGAGGTACATCGAGTTTCTGTAAAATAAAACGATCGAATGTAATCGTTGATATTTTCTGAAATAATAGAAAGAGTCTCTTCAACGGTTGTCTTACAAGTGTGCTTATAATGTCGTTGACTAGATGATCGAAAGGAATCGAGGTACGACGATTGTACAAAAATCGATCGACTGTTATCTCTGAATTGCTATTACAATGAGTTATAAAATGGAGTTATAATTGTCCATTTATAAGAGTTGGAATTTTTTTTTTTATATCATCATAATTGTTTTCGATTTTGTTTGGTAAGCACTATACAGAACAGGATATATTTCAAAATCGATTGAACGAAACTTTTATACGTATGATTCTCTATCCACATACGATCAGTCATAAAAATCTTTGTACAGAATGTTTTTATAGAAATATATGGAAACAGGAGATTCTTGAAGGAATTTTAAGCAATTTCTTCCTTTGTAAAAATTTTCGTTTCGGTTTCGTTAACGAGTTATTAACAAAAAAATATTGACCAATCACGGAGCGTGTAGACTTGTCGAGCCGCGATGATAGTGTTGGGTATGTGCCGTTGGCTCGAACAAACAAGTCCAGACTTGATATATCGAATATTTATAAAATAAAATATTATTCACGAATAATGATAAATAATGAACAAATTAATTAATTGTTATTAATATAAGTACGAATAAATCGAATTTATTCATTCAAAATAAAATTGAAACGAAAATTTTTGCAAAGAAAAAAGTTTATTTGAAATTACGAACCTCCAGTTAAACTGTACTCTCATATTTTTGGGACACGCTGTATATTTCAAGGAAATTCATCTGATTCGAAAATTCTGATTTTAATAGAAGTTTGTACACGTAGAGAATAATAGCAATTACACGTGCAGCAATTTCTTTTATGGCAGAAAATCTCTTTGCGTGAAACCAACCATCAAAATTTTCATGTTATAATTTAATGAATAAAATTTCGTCTGGGAATATTTTTTACAATGAGAATTACAAAGCAAAAGCTGAAAATTTTATAATTTAAAATTCTTTTGTATTGTTATAATGTGACATTAAAAAAAAAAAAAAGAAAGAAAAGATATTAAAACTTTAAAGTTTGTTTTCATAATTTCAAAGAAATGTTTTATCAAAAAATTATATCCATATATAATTTATACTTTCATATATTACAATTTCACATAGTATATAAATATATTATATTTTGATAATACAATTTATTTAAAATACAATGGTTCACGAATGTGTCCAAACATTAGTTATAAATGAAACTGATAACACTAAAAGTATACATATTACAAATACACACATATATTTTAATACTGTAATGTATAAATTACAAATATCAAGATTATATATGAGAATCTTTGCTTATCAGTATCACTCTGTTAAAATAAACAATGAATGTCTTAATGTTTCTTTCATTTCTAACTAAAACTTTAAATAAACACATTCATTTTAATATTCCATCATGCTATTCTAAAGAGTATTCCCAGTCGAAATTGTGATATTTTACTTAATTTTAATTATAATTTAATTTACTTAATTTTAATTTTAATATTTTACTTAATATTGTGATATTGAGATATTTTACTTAAAAAAAAAAAAAATTGCTCCAATATACTCTATTTCCAAAATCAAGATTCTCTCTCATACTCTCGTACACAGAGATAATACAATTCTTTCCAGATAGTCAAATTCCAAATTTCCAAATTTCATCCCCTATCTACCGAAAATTTCAGATTCACGCTACTATAACTCTAACAATAACGATGAATCACGAGTCGCATAAAATGAATTAATAGGCGTTATATAGAGAGGGAGGGGGTGGCGATATTCGTTTAAATTACAAAGTTTCAACGTATCGGTATGGCCACGCTTAATAATAACGGGATAGGGGAGAACAAGAGGCTGATAAATGACACCGCGGTAAATTGGCCTTTCAAAGGTTCACCGAAATAAAGGTGTAACGCTTAGGGGAGGGGAGGGGAGAGGAGAGAGAAAGAGTGGAGGGGACAACCTTTCGAAAGAGATTTCGAGTTGATTAGCGAGCAGGATCCTAATTAAGCAAGTTAATACAATTAGATGAAGCTGGCCACAGTGTCCGTAAGTCGGAAGTCGGTTCGTTAGCTACTTTTGAAGTAACCACTCACCCCTCCTTTCCTCTCCGCCATGTCGAATTTACGAATAATGTCCAGTGAACAGTAAATTCTTGGCCTTGGCTGCATCGAATGCGAAATCCATCATCACGTTACTCAACCTTTAAGTCGCGAAAATTTGTCAAAAAAGGTGTCTGTAACGTGTCCGATTTGCATGAATTTGAAACGCGGACTTTTATTCGTGTTTGAAAAGGCATGGAGGAGGCTTTGTGTGGAAAAATGTGATGTAAGGTGAAAAAGGTGATGATTTTGAGTGATAGTAAGTAAGTTAAGAGAGAGAAATTTTTATACAATTTTTTTTTTTTTTAGTAGAAAATTGAATTACGAAATTTTATAGATTGAAATTGTTATAGAACATCAAATTTGAAATTTGGAATATGTTTAAGGGGTTAATATTTTAGGATGTAAAAAAAATTAATGGATGTAATTCTCAATTTTTTTTTTAAATGGAATTTTTATTTCGAAACGTTTTAAAAAGTAAAGATGATCAAAAGAACGTTTTCAATGATTTATATTTCGATTGAACGAATATATGTTATTCGTGTCATTTGGATCGCGATATTTATAATATTTCGAACAAGTTAAGAAAGGAAAGAAACATATTTAATTGACTCTCTCGTTAGTTTTCGTGTACACGCGCACTTGAAATTTCACAAACTTTGATTTTTTAAAAAATACAACTGGATATAAAAAAAATTCTCGTTTTATATTTTTTTTATTTATTTATTTGTTTTCGCATGAAGAATTATTCTCTTTGCTTACCACAATCAATATGTACCTACGTCATATAATCATAAGTACACTCTAGATACGTATGCAGATATTTTAAACGAGCTCGTTGATTAATTGGAACCAATGTTGGTCATTTAAGTAGATAAACTAGCTTATATTTTAATGCTACATTTATGTAATCGGTTTTCGATATACACCAATGGTTTATTTTCTATTCTGCCCGCGTGTCAATTGCTTTTGAAACATTCTCGATGACTTTGCCACCTCGTGAGACAAAGCTTGAAGCTTGAAGCTTTTCCTTGATATCGATTATGATAACGTAGCTAAATGTAGATTTTTTTTTTGAGTTTTGTTATAATATAGGTGGACTTTTTTTCTAAAAATAATAATTTGTTTTCGAATTTCTTTCATCATTGTAATATTATAATCATTTCAAAAGAATTTTAGTCAAACGTACGTTTCAATGACGAGAGTCATTAAAAATTCTTCTAATTTTAATTAAATTCTTATTAATTTTGGCGAAATGTGAAATGGTATGTATAAATATAAAATATATGGAAATGTTAAAATCGATTTGATACGAAGTGAATACAATTAACCTTTCGTTTATTATGAGAGAGAATATAGTAAAAAAAGTAAAAAAAGTAAAAAAAAATAAAAAAATAAAATGGTAGTTAGACGAAAGCATTTGGCCGGTTGAAATCCAGGAAAAAATATTCAGAAAAAAAAAATAAACATTATTTTTTTAAAATATTTTTTACCAAATATTTCACAACCAACGTTTTCGCGCTCACATCTAATTGTTTCCACATAACAATGAAGTTATTAACCGTACGTCCAATTTACCATTTTATTTTTTCCCCTTCATAATAAATAAAAGTTTGAATTACTTTTTTTTTTTTTTTTTTTGCATATACTTTATATCTGACTAATTTTACATTCCCATGCATTTTACATTTTACAATCTCAAGTTGCAATATTTTTTACACGAATTGTATATTTCAATCGCCGGTTAATCAAGCTTTTTGTTTATTTAAGACTAAAACTTTCTCTCCTCAATAATTTTTTGCCTTTGATTAAAAAATTCGGACCACTCATGCTATTTTTCGTGTTTTTAGTCGAATCGAAAAAAGAAAAAAGATTCGAACGAAATAAATAATTATTATTTTTTACTATATTTACCTACATATAATGCGAATAATAAAAATTGTTTGTATATGTATATATATCACGCAAGCAAAAGATTAAAAAAAAAAATTGTGAATATTTGGCAAAAATAAAAATAAAACAACACGTACAGAATATATCTAGAAGAGACTTAAAGCAAATATAAATTATTAACATGC